GGGTCTTAAGAGGGTAAGAACCTTTGTTTTTAGCCGCTTTTCCACTATGGAGCCGAAAGGTTCTAAGAACTGTCAGGTAGGCCTACGGTTCCACTTGTATTTCCACCTGAGCCTGGTACGGCGCGGCACGATTACAAACCGTTCTCGACCCAGAATTCTCGGCACGGGACTAACACGAGAACGGTTAGTAATCGTGCCGCGCCGTGCAGGCTCAGGTGGAAATACAACTGGAACCGTACCTGACAGTTCTTAGAACCGTTCGGCCCGATAGTGGAAAAGCGCTTTAAACAACCGTGCTGAGCCGTGCTGGTAGAGTGCGTGTGCGTGACGTCGCCACTCTGTTGCCTGCCTGGCTACCAGTTTCTCCATAGCTGGCTAAGCGAAAGAGCGCTATTTGATCAAACAGCCAAGTAAACAGCTAGACCTACGCTACGTTCATTATAAAAAAGAAAAAAAAATCTGAGACAGTTTGGTCTGTGGAGGAAACATTTGCGCTTATTGATATTATAGGCTAATATAGCTTTTTCGCGTCAAGAGTTGTGTCCATTTTTCTGTTATTTAACGAGGTAAATATCGTATAAAAAAGGAGTCCCAAAAACAGAAATATCTGGTCATCGTCCATATCGCTGTTTACATTACACTTGCATTACCAAGGCAACGACTACGCATTTGTATTACATTCCAAAGAGCTCTGTTATGAGCACCACAGTGGAAAATGAAACCGTATCCGTGCTGACTGGCCCGGATCGGCACGAAATGGTACGGTTAAGCAAAGAAAACCGTTCGGCCCGATAGTGGAAAAGCGGCTTAAGAGTGTAACTTAGTGTGCAGATCATATTGTGAGAAATGACTTAATAATTAAATATAGCTGTTATAAATAAATGAATTGATTTACGGTTCTGGTGTCCTTGAGCAAAGTTTAATTAATAATTTGTCATTTAGCTGTCACTTTTGTCCTCACTGTCTTGCAGTGCACTTTTTTAAGACAGTCCTCCTGAGGTTAAGTGCCCTGTTTCAAGGATGAAATGGTGATGGATCAACTTTAGTCTCAGCCTCAGACTGCACGTCTGTATACTGGCTCTCTGATATTGAGTTACAAGAAATGTAACACAGAGTTATCCGAAATCATTGGTTCCAATCTGATTTCATGTCTAAGTGGAAATTAATTTCTATTAGTTTTTTAGTCAATGGTGATTACAAGATCAGGATTTTTTAAATAATTTTTTTCATAGAGATTGCACGCACAACGAACATTTTGTACACTGCAATAATTTATAGGTTACAATAACTTTAATTATATTAATCATAGACGCTTTCATAACTTTACATTTAAGTATTTATTCATTTCCATGGCTTTGCAGTACTACAAATCGCTGCTTATAAAATCCTCTGATATTTCCAGTTTTTTCAATGCAGTGGGAGCCCTGCTTATTGTGAGCAAATAACGGAGAGAAATTCAGAGCGAGTCTACTGTGTTAGAAGCGCATCAAGAACAGACAGGTCCGTAAAAAAAGCGCTGTTCCGCGGTAGGTGGTGCTAAACGCATTCACATTTTGCCGGTACCTCGGTGGGTACATAGGATGATTTTAATTGCGCTGGACAGCGTCCATCGTCACTCACAGTCTCAGCAAGTCAGCGCGCTGCGCACGAGAGCAACAACCTCATTTCTGGATATTAGGCACGAAGGGCAAGTGCGCGAGCGCAGCGCGCGGACACAATTCGTTCGTTCGCTGAGAGAGAAGCGCGCGAATGGTTTTCAAACTGAAATGAGTCGTTAACGGCCGTTTGAAAATGAAGAGGCTTTCTCGAAAGCTGACATTAGTTCTCGCAGCGTTGTTTTGGATAGCCGCTTTACTCTATTTCATATTGCTGAATAGCCGGAAAATACTACCTGACCAAAGAAACGAGCTACCGCAAGTAAAAGAGGTGAGTGATAGCCTACATCATGATATGTTAGAAATAACAAACCTCATGGACGAAATAGCTTGATTTTTGTGATTTATTGCTTTTTAAAACCTGTCAGTAACTCTTTAATTCTTTATTTTTCGTGTTCGGTGAGAAAATATTTGTGAAGGTGCACCACTTTTATAGCCTAACGTTACCTGATCCAATAATAAAGGGCAAAATTGTCCATTATGTCGTTTTTTTCCCTTTTTTTTCTTCTTGTCGGGTGTGTAAAACAGGTCAGTTTAGTGAGATAAATTTTTTAACTGAGAAATTTAGCTTACTTTTCCCTCGGGAGACGAAATAATATGCTTTGCGATAACCTTTTCACATTTTATTTGTTGAAAAATATATTTGTGTAATAGCCAATTTGGTCTCTTTTCCTATTCAAACATGAATTCCTATCAGTCAGTATGATGGACGCACTGAAATAGCTTTAATATATAAGTGCGTACACGAGGGAGGAGATATTTAATCTAGATTATTGAGTGAAAAGTAACGTAAATATTTAAATAGGCTATATGAAAATGGTTGTAATTAACGCTATAAAAGAACCTGGAACATTTGTACCCCTGACATTTGCTTTAGAAACAAGTGTTCAGCCCCTTTTTGACTCCCCACAGGAAAGACAAATCACAAATGAGATCTCTGAGTTGTTTCTCATAGACAGCAATGAGTTTTATTAAGGTTTATTTCTTAACAGAAAGTCTTCTATTTTCTCTTGACAAGTATTAATCTCTCATGTGGTTCATCTGGTCTGGAGTTTCAGAAGTCTGTTTGCCAAGATACCAGAGTCTGAGATTTCAGCATGAACTCAAAAATCAAATTGCTTCAAAAATCAAATTATGTGTGCTGTATTATCCTTTATCCACATTTATTTTATATCTCTATATTCTTAGCTGTCTCATTTGTGTTTATTTTATTAATCTTAAAGACATTTAAGGAGAAATATCTGGGACAAAACTGATGCTTAAAGGGTGTATAAATATGCAAACTCGAGATGATTGAACTGTCATATATTTTTCTCTTATACATTATATGAAATATACTATATAAAATAGTTTGGTATGTGTGAGATTAAATAGTGAATGAAGGAATGTATAGTTCTCTAGTTCTGAAGATGTGCTGGATTTTACCAGGAGGCACCAATCAATAAATAATTCCACTATTTTGTTCAATAGCTATCATGACTAAGATAGAAAGTAATGTAAACAGAAGGTCAAGGATATTCACAAACAGTATAAAGCGAGATGATGCACATATGTGTTGCATTAATAAATAGATCTAGCTGCTGTATTATTGCTGTATGCGTAAATCTGCAGCAAAGTCTTGTACATCTTGTAAGTCAGTTTTTCATACAAACAGCGGCTGGTATATGACAATAAAGTATCACTGAGGGTAATGGGGTATGAAACATGATGTATGGTGTAATATATCTCAACACTGAGCAACACTCTACAGGAACAGAAATATGAAAACAGTTCGCACATGCTCCTTACATCTGTACAGAGACAATGATGGACTTTTTATGGTATAATGATCAGATTTATCTCAAAAAATGCAGAAAGAATTCTTAGCTGGTGAATGCTTGAGCATTGATGGATTTGACTTTTTTATTCTTAGTTTCTCTGTACATCCTTGTGTGAGTATGTAAAACTAAAAATAAGTTAAACAGTTAATGTGGCCTTGAAAACCGCCAGGTGATAGATTTTGCAGACACTCCCCCTTTAAATACAACTAAGCACTGGTAGAGAAATGTCTACTTTAGTATTCTGTGTTGAGCATCATGTTTCCATTTGCTGTTTGCTTCAATATCTATTTTCTGTAATAACCCTGACAGAGAAGGCCGAACCTGCAATAGCTGTTATTGGTGAGGAGGAATGTGAAATACAGGGTTGGCGCAGCGGCTGTTGAGGTGAATGCGGTGTGTGTCACGGTGGCCAGTGTGTTCAAACCATTCATCAAATGGTGGTGACATCTCACTCAGATTCGATGGGAAGATACTCCCCCATCAGCAGAGTGATGCATTATCTTTATAATGGTAAGGGAGGACTGAGATATCACCCATGACATCTGCTATTACCATGATTCATGGCAGATTTGTCCCACAATACAGATTACACAAGCAGACAGTGTTGTTGTGGGGTATATTCACAGTGGCTTCGTGTCATTGGCGTTGAGGTGTTAGACTGGACCGGACAGATGGAGTTTGATGGATTCATCATTTGCCTGCACATGAATTCTGACAGAACATTGGAATGAATAATTTTAATGTAATACCGCAGACCAATTTTACAGTCATGCATGGATTCTGTACCTGCTGAGAGTGTGCTGAGGCCTTTAAAAAAGGAGCAGGATTTCAAAAGAAGTTCAGATGTGTGGTTTAGTGCATTGCAAGAGGGCAGAGGCTTTGGTGGAATAGAACGCTCTATAAAAAGGACCCACATAACCACACATACAGAGTACAGACGACAGGACAGGGAGGATCCAATTACCACTTCCTCAGTCTGTCCTACTCCTCTCATTAGAAGGCTGAGCTCTGTGGGAGCCGGGGGAACACTGAGCCCCAATCGTGGCACAGCTCAGATGCCCTGATCAGTGACTGTGGAGCATCAAGGAGCTAATGATTTCAGCGGGGAGTGTGGGGGTGGTTACGCAAACGCTGTCTTTTGAAGGCGAATAAAATTGTTAAGCAGATAGGAAATTTGCCACATTGATTCAGAACCTGTCATCTTTGTTTTCATGTGTTAATTAAATTCTGTTTCTATTACTGAGTATTCTTAATCATTAAAAGAGGTAATTTTGCAGTGACTCACTGTGCCCTAATCCAAAATGTCGAGATTAACAATGATGTTACATTTTTACTAGCGCTCTCACCTTTTGTCATTTCAACATTAGCTCAGCCTGTAGGCTTGACGTGTCGCTTTAAAGTTGCTAGGCTGTTTTAGACAAACTCAGAATGGATGAAGTGCCTGTGGTGTTGTGAGTAATAAGAACTAAATACTGGACTAATATACTAGGCATAATATACTACACAACTTTTTTTTTGCCCTGATTTTCAGTCTGGATGAGTCAATGCTGATTGCCGAAAGTCAGTCTGCAGATTTTGGGCAGTCCAGTTTAATACATTTCACAGAAAATTGTGTAGTGTATAATGGGCACAGACTATATTTTTTATCTTCAGATTAGGAATCCATCCTGTCGGAGGATGTCAAACATATTTAATATTTTAGCCGATTTTAGAACACACTAGTTGCGTCTGAAATTGCATAAGGTCAAGTAGGTACTATGTTTGGTTTGAAACTTACTTTGCCTACTATACATTATGAAAATTGGCATATTCTGTTGCAGTTAATGGTTTTTATTTGTCACTTAGCAATGCATTTGTTTGTTGTGTTCTGAATGACTTGAAAGTCTGGTAGTGTGTGATCGTTTAGTGTCTTTTAGTGTACAATGCCCAGCTTTTCTCTGTTACATTTACAAAGTCGCCAAGTGTATGATACTTAGTGTTTTCAGATTTTAAAAGTTGTGTTTTGTATTCCAGCCTTAGGAATGGTTGATAAGGCCATTGCTGAGGGTGTGTAGTGGGTTTATTTAATTACTTATTTATTTGCAGCAATACTTTTAAAGGGATGAATTTATATATGCTTTAAAGGGTTTTAGTGTACTGTTCATCTGTAAATTCATCCACTTTTTAAAGCACAGGGCATGGAACTTAAAACCGTCTGCTGTAAAAGATTACACTTATAAAAATACCTATTATAATAAAAATGTCTCAGTTTTTGTGAGAACTATGGGAGTTTTGTGCAATAAAGGTAAGAGATATTTAGCCTATACATTAAATATCTGCTAGCAACCCAGTTGAAGAGCTGTGCGTTCTTGGATAGAGTCTGTATTGTTTACCTATTGGGCTATGTATACATGCAGACAGACATCTTTTGCTGTTGCTCACTGAGTTTTTTATTGCCTCACGTTGAGCTTTGCCTTTCTAAACCAGCAAGTCAACTAAAAAAATTGTTTAGCTTTTAAAAATCATGTCTCTGTTCTGTTCCATTCTGTTGCACTCTGTCCAGTTGTGTCCAAAATCGACTCCTGTATTAACACTCCATGAGAGACTTGTTTGATTGGGGTCCCTAATTATTCAAATGTGATTTTGAAAATATGTAGTTTTGCATATCCCTAATGAGAACATTTACATATTGTTTGTATTATGAGAATGTGTGCATCTGCATTTCAATATCAGCCTGGCTTTTAGACAGACAGATACCACCAATATTATCTGATACTAATATGACTTGGAAACTGAAATGGCGAGTGGAATTGAAAGCCCAGCCATTACCTTGCTAAGCAGTCTAAAGAAACAGACATGTGCAATTACCCACCTCTGTTACTGGCTGTAAAGATGCTGTTGTGGCTGTTGTAAAGCAGCAGGCCATGACATCCCAACCATACACACAATACTGGAAAAGGCTTGTGAGCTCACTGGTGAATTCTTAACTCATTGTGTTTACAATGCCCTGAAGTCCACTCACTCCAGAAGTACAATTTAATAGCTCAATATTAATGCTGTTGTTTTATTGCAAAAAAGAGAGTATGAAGTTTCTTTAAATTATTCCAACTAGGAATTTTTTAGGCCAAATTCACACTGCACCGACAGATGAAGACAAACGGCAACAAGACGTGTTCGTCAGATTTGGTCAGATCAGTGTTTTACCCCTGTTCATGTTGGCATTAGTTAGCACTTGTATTCACCGAATGAACACGGTGAATCAGTGTTTGTCAGGTTTTGGAATGTCTGAGAAATGACACTGTAATTGGTTGGCTGTCGCCTTTGGTCTGTGTCTGTTGCCGCAGTTTGAATTGGCCTTTAAGAGGTGGTTTGTGCTTGATGACATTTGGGTGTTTTTATTTTTCGAGGTACTTTTCGGGTACTTTTTTAAATTACAGATTACGTTTTCTGATCATACTTGATTTATTCTTTACATGTCTGTGCATGACCTTCAATAAAGCTCATATTTTGAAAAATTCTGGGTTTTTTGTATAACAAAATAAAACAAAAAAAGGGTCATCTTATTCTCTGTATCCCCTTAGTCCTAATTAGCAATACCTCTGAAACTGCACCTGCATAAACATGGGTTATTGATTTATTATGTGTATTTTAATTGTAACAACCCTCGCTATTGTTTTAAGCAGAATCTCTACACAAATACGAATGCTAGTGGCAGTCATTTCCATGGAGGGCAGTAGCTGCATTTGGGAACGCAGGAGAGAAGGAGGCATCATCATCAGTCAGCATTCATACAGGCATCTGGGGAGAAACTAGCAACCTGCTGGCATGGGTAATCACCAGCCCCAACCATAACCAACAGCCTCCAGCCCCCTTAATGGTCTAACATCAGCAGAAAAGCTCAAGGAAATAATAAGTGGGAAAACATGGAAACTCTCAAGCTGCTGTCGGTGCAGAATGTGGAGGTTTATTAAATTATGATTGATATGGCCTCAATGTTCAAGCCTCAATATTCGTGACTACAGCTTGCTGTGTGCCTCATATTTCGAGGGGTTTGGTGTGATGGTGCTGCAGAACACTGAAATATTAATGACTTTCTTATGATAATTGAGAATATTGCCTACAGCAACTTTGTTTACTTTTTCCCACTCTTTTAAATAGTTTACTGAACGTGTCTTTCCACCAAGTGAACATGCTCATATCAGAGTCTTGTGTTTTGCAGTGGATTATTATTATTATTATTATTAATATTATTGGATTTGAAACTATTTATTTTGAAAGATGCTAGGATTTGTTCAGACCTTTAGAAATGACTTATGTAGCCTAAAGCATCTTTGACTTCCAGTGTTTTTGTGGAACAAGACAAACAGTACAAGACAGACAGTGAAAACTGGATAGGCTAAATAATTTCAATAAGTCTGATTCCTGTGTTTTCATTATGTTGTAGATTTCAGATGCTGAGTGGGATGACCTGCTGGAAGAGTTTGAAGAGAAAAGCTACCTCAATGCTCACAGATGGAAGCCAGGCCAGGACCCCTACAGTCTGTATGCCTTCAATCAAAGAGAGAGCGAGAGAATCCCCAGCAACAGAGCGCTTAGAGACACCCGACATTACAGGTAAGCCCTGTGTGTGTGTGTGTGATCTATATATAATATCCACACGGTTCATATTAAATTAATGAAGGTGCATCTGTGAGTTCTTGAAAACTTTTAGAAACTGATGAAAGGTGTACTGAGATAAAAAAAGAGTAAGGATTAAATTTAATGAGCAACATTTTTATGAGTGCTTCTCAGGTTCTCTAAGGTCGATATGCTGTACTAGATAATGAAGCATTTACACTACTATTCAAAAGTTTGGGTTTGGTAAGATTTTTAAAGTGATTTTGATATAAGTTTCTTATGCTCATGGAGGCTGCATTCATTTGATCAAAAATGTATTAAAACAGTTATATTTTAAAATATTATTACAATTCAAAAATACCAAATTTTCTATGTTAATATATGTTAAAATAAAAATGATTCCTGTAATGGCAAACCTGAATTTTCAGCAGTCATTACTCCACTCTTCAGTGTCACATGATCCTTCAGAAATCATTCTAATATGCTGATGTGGTGCTCAAGAGAAAGATTTCTTCTTATTATCAATGCTGAAAACAGTTGTGCTGATAGAATAATATTCATATAAATCATAACATAAATATTTTTGCTATCACTTTAGATCAATTTTATGCATCCATACTAAATAAAAGTATTAATTTCTTAATATTTTATATATTATAAAATCTTACTGACCCCAAACTCAGATTTTGGTAGAATTAATCGATCATTTTGAGATTGTTCTGCTGTACTATCAGCCTTTAGTTCTAATTCAGCAATTGCACAGCAAAACTCGACAAAACTTTGCCACAACCACATTTTTCCTCACTCACTGCCTTATGCAATGGCCAGCAAATGTATAATATAAACTAAAAAGAGGTGGATCATTGTTGTTTCAGAAATTCAGCAGATAACAATTATTTGATTGTTAACATGTTTTAATTTGCATTGGTAATTGAGCTTCTTTATGAACGCTGTCTGTGATATTTGGCAGAGCTCTGTGGCAACATGACCTTGTGGCATTTGCAGCACATGGCCACAGTACATTTTCACTCTGCAGCACTGTGGGAGGTCAATGACTCATTAGTGCATGTCACTTTCTTCAGTCAGAGTGCCACATTTCATTTTGCAGCTATTTCTGGATTCTTTTCATGTTTACCATGTTTACACCTGATATTAACTTCCATCTCGGTTAATCAGATCGCATGTGATCAGCTGTGACAGATTTTCTCATGTTTGCACCTCATGTGACCACTGTCCACATGTGATCAGATGTTAAATCCAGGTATAAACAGGATCAAAGTCTTGTGTATTCACAACTGATAAATCTTTATTTGCATTCCATGAATAAACAAGACCATTGATCATAACGTTCTCAACATCATAGTCTGAGTTCAGAAAACTCAGTAGTATTTATTGTTCAAGTAACTAGGTTAGGCCCAGATGAAATCTGCAGACATTTTTTGTAGGGATGTAACGATTCACTCAACTCACGATGCAATACTGATTTCATGATACAATTTTTTCATGATTATATATATATTTTTATTATTATTTTAATTAAAAATCTGATTTAAGACAAATTATAAGTTAAAAGATGTCCTTTTATTATTGCTTGGACAAAATGCTGAACATTTCTTTGTGAAATTGAAATATGTCAAACAACAAAACTAAATTGAAATTTTAAAACAAACCCCAAATCAAATAAATAAATAACACAAATAAAATCTCTTCATATAAACAAACTAAGGCTTTGCCTGTGCTCTTTCCATTCAGTTAGAGGCAA